AAAAAAATCTACGATCATCAGCGCCGTTCGGATTCGGCGTTAAATTGTAGGTCCTATTTAGGTCCTATACATCAGTATAAATCCTGGGGGACATTGGACTGACACCCAAGGATTTAGAAAAATGCGTAGGCTAGCAGTAGAATGACTGAATAACCTACGGAAGCAAGCAGGAGCGACAATGGAACCTCACCACGGATCTAGGTCGCGCTAGTAGGCTGGTTAATAAGCCCACCTGCATTAATATACTACTACTACTACTACTAGGCGTCTTAAAGACGCCTTATTGTTCACTGGGTGGAATTGTACAATAGTATTAATCGATGAAATTGTCAGTGCTCTTGGTGAAAATTTTTCATATAATTTAAAAATATTTTTAATAAAGAATTTAAAATCTAGATTTGTTTATACGAATGTTTATACGAATTCACATATAATAAAAAATTATAAGAAAAAGTATATTCTTTCTCAATACTTCTGAAAGCGTTTTAATTCATGTAAAAATTCTGACAAATTTTCACCAAGAGTTTCGTGATATTTTTGTTTGATTGTAAAAAGTTAACCTAACCAGTTGAGGGATTCTCTAAACGTTTTATCGATGATTGTCGCTATCGTTAACTAGTGACAGCCAATGAGAGCCGCGCTTTCTTTTAAGATTGTCCTGCCATTGGCTGTCGCTAGTTAACGATAGCGACAATCATCGATAAAACGTTTAGAGAATCCCGCAACAGATTAGTTATTTACATTTACACTATCAATTTGTTTATGCGTTAATATGCAATATTTCAACCTTACCATGCGTTAAATTTACATTTTCCTCGTACATTTCGATCTATTTTGCAGCAATTTCAGGGTCTTTAGGAAACCTGAAATATTTTATTTCCTCTCCTTTCATTCTTACCGTTTTTCGATAATAATTATTGCAGACTTTTACTGCACAAACAGCCATTATTTTCAATAAAAACTCTTGCTTACTTTATCGCTTTAACGAATATCATAAATACGGCAGCCCATATTTCATTGGCACTCAGAGTCCGAAAGCTTCCGAAAGCATCCGAAAGTAGCCGAATGTGACGTAAACTGAGTGATGCGCAAAGGCTTTCTAAATTCGTCCACCGGATGAGCATACCCTTGTGTTTATACCATGATCCCCTCCAACGACTTGACGTCTATATGATATAAGCTGGAGAATTCGCCGCTACAGCTCAGACGGCCTCCAGATCTCTTCCTCTGCAGGAAGGACCCGAGATTCAGAAGACCTATCTCACCAAGGTACCTGCTCCCTACACCGCTCTCGCCGCTGCCAAAATCACCGAGCGACTTCACTTCAAGGGAGACTCAGACGCAGAGCGACCAAAGTCAAGAGGAGACTTCTTATACTCCTTCGAGTTCGCCGCCGAGATATACTCCACCGTATTCGCCTTCAGGATCATTCCACCTAGAACTCCACCGAAAGCGACTTTGGGGAAAAAAGAAGATTACAAGAACCTTGCCAGCGATCTCCTTTAGAGAGAGGCTAATTTAATCGTTAATAAACGGCCCTTTTCAGGGCCACATAAGATTATCAAAATCGGTCCTTTTCAAAACCACAAAATTGTAAAATAAGCAGTCTTTCTCAGGACTATTTTGTTAAAGTCTTTGAATAAAATATTTATTTAATCGAACACGCAGCTAACCAATTTCCTTCAATACTTTAATTAATTTATTCATTCATTTTGTTTTAAAATAAATGCATCTTTGAACACAAAAAACGGACCGAACTAATTTGTACACCTAATAAAATAATAATATAAATACGTTGTGAAATTTCAATAATTACAATTTATCTATTAAAAATGATTAATTGTTGTTAACAAAATATATTCTTTATTAGAGAAGTAACGCATAAATTAATTAAGAGGAAAAAAAGAAATATTGTATTTGATATAATTAATAATTAATTAATAAAAAATAATAAATATTTTAAATTATTAAAAATATCATTGTATTATAAAAATCGCTAAAAGTTCCAAACATATTCCGAAAATTAAGCATATTGACGGACACCGCGCCGATGACCTTGATCTTGATATAAGTTGTCAAGGTCAAATTCTGAATAACTTTGCCTTAACAACAAGATGGCGGCTTTTATAGTTTCTGAGATATTTAAGCAGTATAATATTCAATTGTACACATAAAAACAAATTAAAAAACATACATGTATGTTTGTATATATGTTTTTAATTTGTTTTTATTACCACAAGTAATAAAAATTATTATTACTGTTATAATTTTATTATACCAGTTTTTATGTGTACAATTGAATATTATACTGTTATTATTATTATTTATAATTTTTATTTAAATTTTTTTTAATATATTACCTTTTTCTTTCTTTGTTTTTGAATACTAAGAATCCTGTATATTCTCTCTATTCTTATTTAAACGTAAATATTGGTTTTCCAACCGTATCGATGCGTTTTTTTACAATTATGGATGACCTATATCCACTAACACTGGAAAAATAAATATACATATATAATAACCCATAAAAAAACCTTTTTTTAAAAAAAAAAACATACGCCAAGTGCATATAAAAGATACTGAACTTCTTGATCAAAAACAGATATGAGATAAATATAATTGACCAAGTGTATTCTTCATTACGCCAGTCACATAAGACAGACCGAAAGTGACTATAATTGTCAACTGGATTATAGTGAAGAAAAAACTTGG